TCCAGGTCAGTCAGGGCTACATAGTAAGACCCTATCTCAAACAAACAAACAAACAATATATATGTAAATGCTAAATTCAGTTTCTATTTATAAGTTCGTGCTTTTCTTTTCAGAGATTTATTATTTTCATGTATGTGCCTACATGTGTTCATGTGTACTAAGTGTATGTAGGTGCCTTTAGCGACCATAAGAGGATGTTAAACCCCCTGAAGCTGGAGTTATAGGTGGTTGTGAGCCACCTCATGTATGTGCTGGGAATTCAACCCAGGTTCTCTGCAAGAGCAGCAAGCACTCTTAACCACTATGCCATCTTTCCAGTCCCAGTGATTTTACTTGTATACTTTCATTTTTGAAAGACAATTTTGCTAGGTTCTAAAATGGAAAAACGGACTCAGTTTTGTTCCAGCTGGCTTTTGCTTTATCCTGTGTTTCTGCCTAGCTGTCCACCCCCGACCTTTGTAAATACAGCCAGTCAACCAGAACCAGTCCCGTGAAATTTGAACCTGTAGATTCATGGGGGTATCCTGTTCCTACAATATTAGGAAGCTTCCAACTAGCTGGTAGCATGTCCAGGTAGCACGTCCTCCCACCCAGCTATACCTGAATCTCCATGGAGCCCCTTGTCTCTGCAAGTCTGAGACACTTTATTTTCCTAACCAAAACTTTTTGTTAACTGAAAACTTGTTAACTGACCTGCCCCTGGTCTGATGTAAGTATAGTTATTGGCTTTGCCCCTGGCATGATGTAACTGTGGGTTTTAGGCTTTATAAAATCCACTTTGTGAGCTGGGCATGGTGACAGAAGCCTTTAATCCCAGCACTCAGGAGGCAGAGAGACAGGGGGATCTCTGTGAGTTCAACGCCAACCTGGTCTACATAGCAAGTTTAGGTCAGCTGAGGCTGCAGGGAGACCCTGTCTCAAAAAGATTTAAAGAAAACCCAAAAAACCCAAAACCCAGTAAAAATAATAAGACCCACTTTGCCTCTCTTAACACTCACAATTTCTTTGGAGTCTTAGCCCCCTTTCTGATCATCAGCCTTTTTGCTGGCTAATAAAGGACTCCTAGTTCGGCCATCATCTATGGCATTCTTCTGTGCCTCATGTTTCATATTACAGTATTTAAAGGCTGACGTGACGGTTACTGTGTGACATTATCTTGAAGATGTGAATTCACTGTTCTTTTTTAAAAAAATATTTTATTAGCCAGGCGTGGTGGCGCACGCCTTTAATCCCAGCACTCGGGAGGCAGAAGCAGGTGGATCTCTGTGGGTTCGAGGCCAGCCTGGTCTCCATAGGGAATCCAGGACAGCTGGAGCTACAGAGAGACCCTGTCTCAAAAAGACAAAAAAAAATTTTTTTTTATTTCTATGTGTATGAGTGTATTGCCTGAATGCATGTAAGTTGCACCCATGTTTTGTGATGCCCTCAGAGATCAGAAGCGGATGTCATTGAATTCCTTGGAACTGGAGTTACGGTTAGTTGTTAGATGCTATGTGGGTGTTGGGAATCAAACTTGGGTCCTCTGTAACAGCAGTCAGTGCTCTTAGCTGCTAAGCCATCGCTCCATCTCCCATTATTCTTTTTTTAAAAAACATTTTATTTATTTTATGCATATGAGTGTAATGTCTGTGTATAAGTGCACCTGTGTTGTTCTGTGCTTGAAGAGGTCAGAAGAAGGCATCAGATCTCCTGGAACTGGAGGTACGGACAGTTGTTAGTTACCATGTGGGTGCTGGGAATTGAACCTGGGTCCTCTGCAGGAACAGCCAGTGCTCTTAACCACTGAGCCATCTCTCCAGCCCCTCTGTTGTTCTTTTATTAGAAAAAAAATATATTTTTAAATGTCATATTTTTGTACAATTTAATAAACAACTTTTTAAATGTCACTGCTTCTGTCTGAATTTCTTCTGCTTGTGTTTCTGTCCCTCTGAATCATTGGTTTTCTTTTTGTTTCTGTTTCTATTTTTCACATTATATGTTTCATAGTAGTGCACACCAACTTTTCTGGATTGTCATTGTTGTGCTGCTCTCCTCTGTTCCTCACAGATCAGCATCCTTTGAGTTTTATTTGAAGGTTCTTCTTCCCTCTGTACTTTCCGCTTCATATTTTTATTTATTTATTTAGATTTTATGTGTGTGAGTGTTTTGCCTGCATGTTAGTGCACCTGTGTTATACAATACCTAGGGAGGCCTGAAGAGGGCATCGGATACCCTGGAGCTGGAGTTACAGATGGTTGTTAGCCACCATGTGGGTGCTGGGAACCCAACCAGGGTCCTCTAGAAGACCAGTCAGTGCTCTTAACCACTGAGCCATCTCTCCAGTTCCCCACTGTTCTTTTGACTTCCAGTGTTCTGTTGAAGAATCTGGTATTATTCTTTTCTTTCTTTGTTAATAATTGAAAAGTCCCAAGATTGAACCTAAAACTCTGTCACTTACCTGCCGTATCCTCTTGGTATGTTACTTCAGTTCTTTAGGCCTGGGTCCTTCATTGGTCAAAGACAAGATCATCAATCCCATAGTTTTTGTTGTGGTCATTAACATAGCACTATACAAACTTATTAATGTTACAGGTGTTACTAACATCAGAACCTGAGCCCTCTAAGCCCTAATAAGCCAGCTCAGGCACCCATCTTCACTAAATCAAGTGAGTAAGAGTCAAAAGCAGAAAAAAGGAGATTTACTCAGTGTGGCCACATTGGGAAGAGGGACAGAGAGATCCAATGACTCCATCAAGTCCATCTTTGGGGTGCCACCATGAAGTCTAGGTTTAAGTAGAGTTATGCTACACGGTCCCATCAAGGTATAGTGCCATCCATCATTGATCTATCATTGCCCTAGCTCCAATCTCTCCTGTAAGATGGTCTGACAAGTTGCCAGAGCCATGTGAAATCTCTTTCCTGAAGATAAGTTCCTCCTCTGGCTGGCACCAGGCTTTAGCTTTCTCCTTCTCCTAGCATGAGATTCCTGGAAAAATTACAATTTCTTGGGGATCATTGTTTCAGTGGATTGATAGCCAAAAATAGGGGCCCAAGTGTCTTTTTAAACACATCTCATTCCTGCCAGGCCAGTTACAATATTATCTACAGTTTTCTGCCTAGTTTCTACATCTTATTGCTTGTGGCAGAGAGATTCTACAATACTGTAGTGTCCAAGCAAAGTCAGTGTCCAGCATGACTCCTGGAGTCATTTAAAGCTAAGTGAACTTGATCTGTTCTCAGAACTTTTCCTTCTGAGTTTTCTTAGAACTGTTCTCTTGAACAAAGGGCTTGCTCTGTATCTAATGAAACAGTATAAAAAAGATTAAAGCTATATGTTTAGCTTACAAGAAGAGCCCAAGGCCTAAAAAACTTCTTTATGTTATAAACAAGGGTCAAATTATCTCAAAACATAGGATTAAGCTTGGCTATAAGGTTAGATTAGATTCCCTTTAGTAACAGAAGACATTCCCAGAATTCATTCCCACAATTGCTATCTTCTTTAGTTTTTCCCACTAGTGAAAGAAGTTAGAGTAGTGTGAATAGATCAGAGCCAGGAACTCACAGCAGGAGTTAGAAATAAGAAAGGACAAGCAGGGACTGGTACCATAGCTCTAGGGTAGAATCTAGCACCTTAATTTCAGTTCCCAGCATTGCAGTAAGTAAATAAAAATAAGAAGGATGATCTTTCTTTGTAGGAAGCTAAGTTTCTGCAATAGGAATCTAATGTGTCAGATAATTACAAGTCAAACATTTCTATTCCATTCCCAATGCAACTGCCTTTCTTCAACTTCTCATCTCTTGCCTATACAATTGCATCACTGGTATTTCTTCCTTTAGACTTTGAGGTCTCTAATTCACTTTCCTCTTACTATAACTTCCCTGCAGGAACAAAGATACTCAGAAGGAAGACACTTGTGCCTCTTCCTTTGGTTAGCAGACTGTGAGAAAATGGACTGTAAGTAACCAAAGTTTCAGGGCTAGAGAGATGGCTCAGTGGTTAAGAGCACTGACTGCTCTTGAAGAGGGTGGGAATTCAATTCCTAGCACCCATATGGTGGTTAACAATCATCTGTAACTCCAGTTCCAGGTGGTCTGACTCCTTCTGACGTCCAGGCATTGCACGACACAAGTGCATTTACACACATGCAGGCAATACACTCATACACATAAAATAAATATTAAAAAAAAAGAAAAAAGTTTCTCCAGGAGTCTCAAGCTGGCAAAAGGAAAAGACTGGAGCCCTGGTGCAGGCCAGAGGGGAAGCCTACCTACGAGGAAGAGATGTGGACAGAACATAGCTCTGACAACTTGCCAGATCACCTTGCATGAGAGTCTGAATGAAGGATGGCCACACCTTGACCAGGCTGGCTACCCTCTTGCTCTGTTCTTAAACCAAACTTCACATCAGGACCCTGAAGAGACTTAAGTGGGTCGCAGTACCTACTTATTTCTTCCTCTTCCCAATGGGACCACATTGAATAAATCTCCTTTCTCTGCTTTGCATAATTAGTTATTTCTTCGACTGGCCTATTGAGGAGGGGTGGAGCTCCCAGAGCCCATGCTCTGACTCTTCAACAACCCAAATCACAATATAACCAAAACTAACGTTCTAAATAGCAACTCTGAGTACTTTCCTGACTAGCATCTTAAAGCAAGCCCCAGACTGGTTTAAGTAATCTATGTGCTTCCAGAATATTCTGTCAGAACAGTACTGAGACTAGGAGACAGTGATGTTTACATCTGACCATCCAGGCTCATTTCCCAGTCTTTGGGGCACACGAAGATCCCGGAGAAAACAGAAATACGTTTGTGGGGAACGAGATAAAAACACCAGCCTGGAGGACAACTGGAGGATTTGCCTTATTGGGAAGGTTTTCTTCATCCTGAGGGCTTTGCTTTCTTAGGATGCAAGTCTTCCGGACCACATTTCCTGTTCCAAGGCACCCCCTTGTGGTCACTCCAAACTCTTGCCAGCTTGGGAATCGCGGGCCAGACAATTCGCGCATCCTCTTTGAGCGCTGGGCAGTGCGCATGCGCACCGGCTGCCGCTCGCTTTCCTACAGGACCTGCGCTTGCTTTCCTGCAGGAACGAGTTTTCCTTCTTCCGGCGCGCTGCGGGGTCCGGAAGTGCTTTTGGGGCTTTTGGGGAGCTGCGGGCTTGGCCCTGGCGCCGGGTCTTTCTCCGTCCGCAGCCGAGGCGTGGGCGCTGCGGGCCGGGGCCCCGGGAGCCGGCGATGATGGCGGAGCAGCGGGTGGAGGTGGACGGCAGCATCATGGAAGGGGTGAGTGCGGGGTGAGTGCGGGCGGCGAAGCTGCGGCGGATGGGCCTCCTCCCGTCTCTCATCTCCTCTTTCCGCACCCGGTGCTCTGCAGGGCGGCCAGATCCTCAGGGTGTCCACCGCCCTGAGCTGCCTCCTCGGCCTCCCCCTGCGGGTGCAGAAGATCCGCGCGGGCCGCAGCACGCCTGGCCTCAGGTACCGCTGGAGGGTGGGGAGCGGGGCCGCGGAGTTGGGTGGCGGTGAGACCCGAGATCGGAGCCAGGGCCCTGGAGCTCCGGAGGCCCCGGGCACCATCCGGGGGACAGGCCCTCGGCCTCCTTCCTGCCCCAGGGAGGCGTTGCCTTGCCTGATTGTGCAGTCTTACAAGCCGCAAGCAGCACTTGGAACTAGGCCTGGATTTTCTCTATTTGACCTCAAGTTGCCGTATTTGTCAAAGAGCTCTCGTTTTTCCCCCGGGGTTGGGGGTATAGTTGTTAGCAGAGCGCTTGCTTAGCACGCAAAAAGCTCTGGGTTCCATCCCCAGCATCGCCTAAACGGGGCATGGTGCTACACACCTATAATCCCAGCTCTCAAGAGGTGGAGGAAGGAGGATCAGAAGTTCAAGGTCTTTCTGCTACTTGAGAACTGCGAAGCTAGCCTGATACTTGGAGATCGTGTCTCAAAACCAAACCAAACCTCATGGTACAAGCCAAGGACTCTAAGCTTTGTGAGGGGAGAACACCTCTAAGACCAGAGGAAACCATCTGTAGTGCATTCTGTGCTACGGCACATTTTCTAAACTCAGAATAGGTAAGGACCATGGGATGTACCAGCTTCATTCAGGAAAGTGTGAATGCGACTGGAGCAGAAATATCCGTATGAAGAGGAAGCACTTTGACACTTGGCCATGTTTCTTCTGGGAAACTGGGCTGTCATTGAAATGAGTGTTCTGGTACAAGCACCTTCTGGAAGAGGACTCAGGTTGAAGCGAAGGTGTTCCCTTTCTATATGTTTTCTCTGGGTATTCTGTTTTGTCCACAACCAGTTCTGAAGTTTGTTAGGAGGCAGTTGATATATACGTGACATCAATCCCTTTTGTCAGAGCAATCCAGTATCTCTACCAGTAGTGGAACCTAGTTCGTTAAGTGGTGTTAGGTAGTAACTAGTTTGCTAGGGATACCATAACAAAATACCAGAGACTAGTTGACTGAAACAACAGAACAGTTTTTTTTTTTTTTTCTTTCTGTACAATTTTGGATACAGAAGGCCAAAATCAAATCAGGGTGTTCACAGCGTTGGTTTTCCTAGGCCTTAAGGGGAAAATATGTTGTGGGCCTTTTCTCTAAACTTGGAGATGACTTCCCTCTTCCCTCTTGCTGCTGTTTCACAGGGTGGTCTCTCTGCAGCTTCTGACTGGTGTTGGTGTTCCTTCTAGGTCCTAATCTTTTTTTTTTAAGGCAAGATCTCATGTAGCCTAGGCTGGAAGAGACCCTGACCTTCTGATCCTCCCGCCTCTACCTCTCTAGTGCTAGGTTTAAAGCTGTGTGCCACCATGCCCAGTTTATGTGATTCTGGGATGGACCCCAAGGCTGCTGAGCAAGCATTCTACCAACTGACCTACATCCCTAGCCCCCTAATATTTTTTAAATAAATGCCAGTCGGATTGTATTAGAGCTTGTCCTAAAAGCCTCTGATTAAGTTAACTAAGTCTTTAAAGGGCCTGTCTCCAAAAGCAGTCACATTTTGAGGTTTTATGGGTCATAGTTTCACCTGTGAATTGTTGGGGGGACGTAATTCCATCTCTGTAGGTGCCATGGGTTGGTTATTCAGTAACATTCAAGCAAGATTGGTGGTTCTTAGGTCCTTTTAGTTTTCTTCTTCTGCACACTTGTAACTTGTAACAGTTCATCAGTGTATGTATTTGTTGCCAAAAATTGTTCTTTAAGGGGCCTTTAAAGCAGTCCAAGTGGCTAAAAATCCAAAAGAAGCTGTGACCTTGAAGATGTCCCACTCTGTGGTTAGACATTGCTGTTTTCCTACCACTAGTTTTACAAACGTGTCATGCCATGTGGGGCTATAGGCAGTCTGAACGCACACGTTTTGACGCAGTATTATGACCTGAAGGCCTCAGCATTTATCTGGACTGGAAATGGTTCGAGATTTGTGTGATGGGCAACTGGAGGGAGCAGAAATTGGTTCAACAGAAATAACCTTTACACCAGAGAAGATCAGAGGTGGAATCCATACAGCAGACACCAAGACAGCAGGGTATGTATCCCCGAACATGCCTGTAAACGAGTTCTGAAGTTAGACCTGAATTCAAACGTAGGTTCTTTTGCTTACTAGGGAGTACTACATAACTGCTTTCAGTTCATTTTCCTCACTTTGAAAATACAGGTGCCAGGCCTGGGTATAGTGGTACACACTTTGTAAAAAAAATTTTATTTATTTTATGTGTATGCATGTATTGCCTACATGTAGGTAAGTGCACCCGTGTTGTGAAATGCCCAAGGGGGTCAGAAGAAGTTGTCGGATCCCCTGGGACTGGAGTTATGGATAGTTGTTAGCTGCCATGTGGGTGCTGGGGTTCGAACCCAGGTCTTCTGCAAGAACAACCAGTGTTCTTAACCGCTGAGCCATCTCTGCAGCCCCAGTGGTACACACTTTTAATCCCAGCACTCGGGAGGCAGAGGCAGGCAGATTTCTGTGAGTTCAAGGCCAGTCTGATCTATGTAGTGAGTTCCCCAGGTCTCCCTGGGGTTACAGGGAGACCCTGTCTCAAAAAGACCCCCCCAAATTAACAGAATCCTGCGAGAAAGCTGATCTTGCTTTATTTTGCTCTTGTTCCATTTTATCCCTAGTTGTGATGATAGAACCATGTGTTTTGTTTTTACAGTTCCTTACTCTTCTAAATATTTTGTTTTATTATATGTGTATGAGGGTATTGTCTGCATGCATGTAAGTACCTGTGTCCTACAATGCCTGCAAAAACCTATGGTTTATAAATAAGCAAAACATCTCTAAGTTTTGTTTGTTTGGTTTGCTCTTGGATTCCAATTCTTAGGAATATTATGTACCGTCACTTATATTGTCTTCCCAGTGCCGTGCATGTAACCCAGCCAGTATGTAATTTAGGGAATTGATGAAGCTAGTCATCAGTAAGAGAATCTCTCTCTCTCTCTCTCTCTCTCTCTCTCTCTGATTGTTTGTCATTTCTTTCTTTTTTAAAAAGAGGCCTATTGAATCTAATCTATGTTTCCCAAATGCTCTTGGGTGTAGGTCTGTCAGTAGAGTCTAGTCAACCTAGCAGGCATGTTGTTTGATACCTGAATGGTGTCTTGTACCTGGTAATAACCCGGATATAAACAAGCAGTTGAATATTTCTAGATTTTGACTTTTTTGAATGCATTTTCATAAACTGCTGCTTTAAAAAATCATTTTAGAAAAATATTTGAAGAATTTATTTTAAATTTATTTTTATGTTTTTAATTATTTATAGTATTGCCAGAACTTAATCAGGGTAACCCAGCTAATGTGTTTAGTTTTGAATTCAAACCCAATCAAAAGTATGCTTTTTTATTTTTAATTTAATTAAAAAAAAAATTAGTGGTCCTAGGCGTCCAAACAAGGTCTTACAAATGCTAGGTGCAAGTATTTACCATTGAGCTATACGTTAGTCCAGTTTTGCTTATCTATTAAAACTAGTTCTTTCTACTTTGAAACACTTTTTTTAAAATTATTTTATTTTACGTGTATGAGTTTTGCCTGCATGTATGTCATGTAATGTCTACAGAGACCACAAGAGGGCATCAGATCCCCTGGAACTGGAGTTAAGGACAGTTAGCCACCATGTGGGTGCTTGTGAACTGAACGCAGGTCCTCTGGAAGAGCAGCCAGTGCTCTTCATTGCTGAGCCACCTCTCTAGCCCCTGAAATACTTGATGATTCAGGATTTTACTCTTCAGACACTGAAGTGGCTTTTGAACTTCTGAGTTTTCTGTAGCAGTGTTATACTGTAACTAACGCAGCCTTTATGGGACTGAAAGACAGTACAGTTAAGTGTGTTCTGCCTTCTCCTTAGGAGTGTGTGCCTCTTGATGCAGGTTTCAATGCCCTGTGTTCTCTTTGCTGCTTCTCCATCGGAACTTCGTTTGAAAGGAGGAACGAACGCTGAAATGGCACCGCAGATTGATTACACCATGATGGTAAGGGCTGACCTACATTCTGAATCTCTGCTCTCTGTTTAAGCATGTCCGTACTTTTCTCATGTAGTTACAGCTCACACATATGTTTTAGTTCTGTTGCAGGACAGGGAAGGGAATTATGTTTACTTTAGGTTTTGTGTTCTACTTTAAGACACTGCTCATACTATCTTTTCATTATTTTTATCTTATGTTTATAAGTGTATTGCCTGCGTGTGTGTAAGTGGACCTGTGTCATGCAGTGCTCATGGAGGTCAGAAGAGGGCATGGGATCCACTGGAACTGGAGTTACAGACAGCTGTTAGTCATGTGGGTGCTGTGAATTGAACCTCGGTCCTCTGTAAGAGCAGTCAGTGCTTTCTTTTAACCTCTGAGCCCTCACTCCAGCCCCTCCCCTTTTTAAACAATCATTTTTACTTTATGTGTATGAGTGTTATGTCTGCATGTGTATAAGTGCACCTGAGTCATGTGGTGCCTGCGGAGGTCAGAAGAGGGCATTGGATCCTGTGGAACTGAAGTTACGGACGGTTGTTAGCTGCCATGTGGGTGCTGGGATTTGAACCTGGGTCTTCTACAAGACAGCCAGTGCTCTTAACTGCTGAGCCATCTCTCCAGCCCCATCTATCTTAAGTAGAAATTTTTTATCTGAATTTTTTTGTCTCTTTTGAGTCAGGGTCTCCCTATAGTCCCATCTGCCCTGAAACTCATTAGGTAGACAGGCTGGCCTCGAACTCACAGAAATCCGCCTGCCTCTGCCTCCAAAGTACTGGGATTAAAGGCATGCACCACCAAGCCCAGCTTTATCTGAGTTTTTTAAAAACCTAAAATATTATCAGATGAATTTTATCAGCGATTATATCAGTCAGCAGTTTTAGTGCTGGCATGCTGTATACAAGTAGAAAAGAGGAACAGGTTGAGCATCCCTAATCTAAAAAAGCTGAAATACAAGATATTCCAAAATTTGGGCCAGTGAGATGGCTTAGCAGGGAAAACCACTTACTATATAAGCCTGATGAGAACCTGTAACAGGAGAGAACTGACTCCTGAAAGTTGTCCTTTGACCTCCACATGAATGCCGAGGAATAAATACCCACGTTCATCTCCCCTCACAAATAATACAATTTTTTTTTTTTTTTTTTTTGGTCTTTTTGAGACAGGGTCTCCTTGTAGCCCTAGCTGGCCTGGAACTCACTATGTAGAGTAGGCTGGCCTTGAACTCACAGAGATCCTCCTTGCCTCTGCCTCCCAAGTGCTAGGACTGAAGGCATGTGCTACCATACCCAGCAAATAATACAGTTTTTAAAAAATGTTCCAAAATTCCAAACTGAACACCACCATGATGCCATAAGTGGAAAATTCCCCACCTGACTTCATGTGATGGCCTGAGATCACAACACAGAGGCACTGAAAATACAGTGTAAGATGACCTTCAGGCTGTGTGTCTATGAATCCTAAGTGAGTTTCATGTTTGCACTTGGGTTCCATCATGTATATGCAAATACTATAAAATCAGAAAAAGAAGCTCAAGGCATTTCTGATTCTGATCATTTAGGTAAAACATGTTTAAACTCTATTAGCCTTTATTCTCCCTTCCAGCTTTATTGTGGCATAAGCCCCTTTAAGTATAGTTTTATAATTTAGGGACATAAGCTCCTTTAGGTGTAGTTTTATAATTTAGGGACATAAGCCCCTTTAAGTGTAGTTTTATAATTTAGGGACATAAGCCCCTTTAAGTGTAGTTTTATAATTTGGGGACATAAGCTCCTTTAAGTGTAGTTTTATATTTGGGGACAAATGTGAACCACCTTCCACAATCAAGATGCAGAATAGTTTCATTACTCTAAAAAAATCACACATCCTTCCTAGCCAGTCCTGTTCTCCAAACTGTGGCAATCACTTTGCTGTTAAAGTTTTGCCCTTTTTCACAGTGTCATATAAAGGAATAATATATGTAGCCTGAAAGTATGACCTTTTCTCTTTTTTTTTTTTAAGATGTGTCCTCATGTTCCAGGCTGGCCTTAAACTCAATATGTAGCTAAGGTTGACCTTGAACTCTGATCCTTCTGCCTCTACCTCCTGAGTGCTAGGATTAGTGTAGAACGTCACACCCAGTTTATGTAGTGCACACCCAAGTTGTGCAGTGCAAACCTAGGGCGTTGTGCATGCTAAGGAAGCACTCTACAAGCTGGACTATATCCCAAAGCCCTGGGGCTTTTTTACTTACCATAGTAAGTTTGAGATTCATCATCTTACTTGCATCAGCAATTAAAAGCTAAGTAGTTTTACTCTGTGAACAAACCAGTTTGTTTATCATCAGTCAGTTGAAGGTTATTTGAGTTGCTTCCATCTTTAGCAATTAACAACATATTCACTACTAATATTTATCATGTAAAAACTGCAAAAGTATTTTATCAGCCATCGTCTTAGGCTTTTCTTGTTATCCCATAAAAGTTCTGTCTCTTCTGCATCCTACCCAGCACTAGATGACCTTTATATTTTTTTCTGCACTGTTGGGTTTTTTTTTTTTTTTTAAGTATTTGGGAACGGAACCCAGGTCTTTCTACACACTAGATAATTGTTCTGTCCACTAGTCCTGCCTTTTTTACCACCAAAATCTCTAAAGTAGGTCTCATCAGGTTTTTAGACTTCAGCCTTAAATACCACGTTCCTCTGGAACATAGGCAATCTTTTTTTGCAGGTGGTGGGGGGTCTTTTTGAGACAGGGTCTCCCTGTTGCCCCAGCTGGCCTGGAACTCACAGAGATCTGCCTGCCTCTACCTCCCGAGTGCTGGGATTAAAGGCGTGTGCCACCATGCTCAGCCTAATGGAAAGTATCATCTCTTTAAAGTGATTAATGTGTAATGAAAGTTAGTTTCTCTTACCTAGTAATTCACTTCAAGGAAACTTCTGTAAATTATAACAAAAGACAAATGTTTAATATACTTGAACAGAGCAGTGTATAAACTGTAATTATCGTATAGTACACATGACATTGTCACGATTCCTTGGAGAATGGTTAGGTAAATTATGTTGATGTTATATAGTCATTCAAGTATTGTTTAGGAAGAATTTATGGTGCCAGGAAAATGCTTGTGTTTGTAATATGAAATGGGAAATAACAAGAGTAAAGCATTGTGCATGCAGTGAGATTTTGTTGTATAATGCGTAATGTAATGCTTTTGATGAACGCACTCGTATCTTACAGGGTACGGTGTGTTGAGAAGGTTAGGAGGTGTTGGCTTGTAAAGGAGAGTAATGACTGAGATGATGCATGTTCTGATTTGATTTCATTGGACATGCACAGCCCTCACCAACTAAATGTGAAACTTTACTTTTAGCTATACAGCAGTCTTCATTTGATCAGTAAGAACTTGTGTAAATATTTTATGTTCTATTTATCTGTAGCAGCTAAGTTACTGCAGAACATTTTTCATTTAAAAATTGTACTTCTTGAATCCATGAATATCGGTGCCTGAAGTAACAGCTGTCTTTTTCAGGTCTTCAAGCCAATTGTTGAAAAATTTGGTCTCAAATTTAATTGTGACATTAAGATGAGGTAAGTTACTCAGTTCTTAGCATCTCTGTCCCTCTTCTGTTGGCATTGCTGGGGATCCAACTCAGGGTCTTGGGCGTGTCAGGCCAGTCCCCGAGCCAACTCCCAGCTCTTAAGCATTTTGATCTCTTATTCTAAAAATAGTGGAAAAGTTAGACTGTAGAGAACTGGTACGCTCATACACTTAATGCATTATGTTTAATGTTACATTTCTTTTAAAAGATTATTTTTTAACTTTTAGTTTTTGTTCAATGTATTCTAAGCTCATCATGTGTACAGTGCCTGCAAAGGTCAGAAGAGGGTGTTGGATCCCCTGGAATTGGAGTTATAAAGGTTTGCTACAAGTAGCTGCTGGGAACAGAACTCGGGTCGTCTGGAAGAGCAGCCAATGCTCTTAATTGCAGGCCTATCTCTCTAGGCCTTAATGTTAAATTTCTTACAGAAAATAATTGTACTTTGTGGCTTTAAAACCAATCAGCAGTAAGGGTACAGGTTTTTACCAGCTACCTGGGGGATTCATTTGTTTCTTGGCAGAAATATTTTCAAGGGAATTTCTACACAGGCAATACCTTCAGTCTGGTGTCACCCATGCCTCTGGGTGGGTTAAGTGATCACTGTGTGCAGACAGCTGGACTAGGTCATAAATGAAATTTTCTCCCACAGTGCAGTAGGAACCGTTTTCCTAAGAAACACCAGGCATTCAGGGATGTCTCTTTAAGGCTTCCCTTGTGGGACTAGAGAAATGATGGCTCAGTGGTTAAGAGCACTGGTTGTTCTTCCAGAGTTTGATTCCCAACTCCCCGGTCAGGCTCACAACTGCCTGTAACACCACCTTGAGGTCCATCTCCCTATCCTGGCCTTCACAGACCCCTCATGTACATGCGAATACACATACATACGTAAATAAAAATAATAAAATCTTTTTTAAAAAGGTTTGGAGAATTCTTGAGGATGGGAGTACTGTAATTCTAAGTATCTGCAATAGAATTAATATAATGGAGTTAAAATTTTATTAATGTTCACCTACTTACATATTCATCGGGTATTTATTTAAGCACCTGACATGTACCAGACATTGTTTTATTTCTGGAAATCAGCAGAAACAAATAGAGCCAACATTGGAGCTTATGGTCTCAAACAGTACTTTGAATATTCTGTTTTACACTGTCTGAAATGGTACCACTAGCCCTGTAACTGCTGAGCACTTGAAATATGGCGAATATAACTAGGAAGCTCATTTCTGAATTGCATATTGCTATTACTTTTACTTTTTTTTTTTTTGGTACTATGGGTTGAATGCAGGGCTTTTCATGCTAAGCATTCATTCTACCACTGAGCCATACCTCCAGCTGTAAGTTTTACTGGTCACATGTATTTTTTTTTTTTTTTTTTTTTTTTTTTTTTTTTTTAAAAAAAAAGCCCCAGCTGTCCCAGAACTCACTATGTAGACCAGGCTGGCGTCGAACTCACTAAGATCTGCCTGCCTCTTCCTCCCGAGTGCTGGGATTAAAAGGTGTGCGCCACCATGCCCAGCTTGTTTTTTTGTTGTGGTTTTTTATTTTTTTTATTTTTTTACTTATTTATTATTTATTTATTTAAATTTTTATTTTTTTTTATTTTATGTGTATGTGTGTATTGCCTGCATGTAGGTAAGTGCACCCGTGTCGTGCAATGCCTTTGGAGGTCTGAAGAGGCTGTCAGATCCCCTGGGACTGGAGTTATGGATAGTTGTTAGCTGCCATGTGGGTGCTGGGATTTGAACCCAAGTCTTCTGCAAGAACAACCAGTGTTCTTAACTGCTGAGCCATCTCTTCAGCCCCTGGTCACATGTATTTTAAGGCCACCATTATTGGACTGCTCAGACCTAAAATACTACTATTTAGGCCTTTCCATGAATTACGTATTTGGATATCATTCCTATTATAGTAACATAATATTAAGCTTTATTTCTTCATGCAGTCATTTCAGGTACTAGGTATTTCTTCTCCTTTTCATAGGGGCTATTACCCAAAAGGGGGTGGTGACGTGATCGTCCGAATATCACCAGTTAAACGGTTGGACCCAATAAATTTGACTGATCGTGGCTCTGTGACTAAGATATATGGAAGAGCTTTTGTTGCTGGTGTTCTACCACTGAAGGTAAGTTGTTTAGATGTTTGTGTACAGTTTGTGCTCTTTATTGCTGAGCCAACTCTCTAGCCCTTAAATCTTGAAAATTTCAAGAGGACTTTTTTTTTTTTCCTTTCAAGATAGTCTCATGTTCTAGCCCAAGAGAAAAATTTGTTTTTATTTTTCTGAGACAAGGTGTCCTGTAGCCCAGGCTGGACTCAAACTCATGATAATAGTCAATGCTGACCTTGAACTTCAGATCCTTCTGCTTCTACTTCCTGAGTGCTAGGCTTAGAGGTGTTGAGTACCATCCCTGGTTTGTGTGGTGGTGTTATATCCTAAGATTTATGCTTGCCACTAACTGATCTACATCCTCAGCCCGAGAACTTAATTTTTAACCCATCTTTTCATTAAAAGTTTTCCCATGTGCTTTCTCTACGCTTGTTTTAAAATAATGTGTGTAAAAGTTAACTATGTAATTTTGAAGACTTGAAAGCAGTTGTGCAAATAATCAGTAGTTTGTTTCTCCTTTTCTTTGCCAAAACAGGTAGCCAAAGATATGGCGGCCGCAGCTGTGAGATGCATCAGAAAGGAGGTCAGGGATCTGTATGTCAATATCCAGCCTGTTCAGGAATCCAGAGACCAAGCATTTGGCAACGGAAGTGGAATAATGTGAGGGCGCTGACGTTTTTAGACATTAGCAGAGACCCCTGAAGTAACTTAGAGAGGTGAAGGGGTTTTCCCGGTTTAAGTTTTAAAACAGGTTTTTTTTTGTTTTGTTTTAAGTTTTAAAACAGGTTTTTTTTGTTTTTTGTTTTGTCTTTTTTTTTTTTTTTTTGAGATGGCGTCTCCTTGTAGCCCCAGCTATCCTAGAAGTCACTATGTAGACCAGGGTGGCCACGAACTCACAGAGATCCGCCTGCCTCTGCCTCCAGAGTGCTGGGATTAAAGGCGTGTGCCACCACACCTGGCTTTAAGACATATTTGTAAGGACAGTCCTTCCTAAGACCATGGTGTGGTGAATTAATGGGACTGGACTTGGTGTCACAATTTCTTTTCTCTTCTTTTTTTTTGGTCTTTTTGAGACAGGGTTCTCCAGCTGGCCTGGAATTCACCATGTAGACCAGGCTGGCCTCGAACTCACAGAGATCCATCTGCCTCTGCTTCCTGAATGCTGGGATTAAAGGCATGCGCCACCATGTCCAGCCTGTTTATTTATTTAAAAAAAATACTTATGTGTATATGTATGTGTCTGAATGTGGTTTTGTGCACATTTAGTGCAATGCCCACAGAGGCCAGAAAAGGGTGTTGGAGCCCTAGCAGCTGGAGTTACAGATGGTTGTGAGCCACTCATCATGGGTGCTGGTGAACTTGAGTTTTCTGGAGGAGCAATATGCATTTTTAACCTCGGAGCCATCTCTTTAGCCAGCCTCCTTAGTTTGTTGAGTAGAATCTCACTTTGTAACCCAGGCTGGCCTCAACGTCACAGCAATCCTTGTATAGCCGGGTGTGGTGGCACATGCCTTTAATCCCAGCATTTGGGAGGCAGAGGCAGGAGGATCTCCGTGAGTTTGAGGCCAGCCTGGTCTACATAGTGAGTTCCAGGCCAGCTGGGGCTACAGGAGACCCTGTCTCAAAAAAAACTGGAAAAAAAATGCCTCACAGCAGTCCTTGTGTCTCAGTCTCCCAAGTGCTGGAATCAGAGCCACCACACTATCATTTATAGAAGGGATTTCAGTGTCCTTGTCCTGGGATGAATTCTCCAAGTACTATGCTGGGCTTAAATGTTTAAGCAACTAGATGTTAAGCTTCGAAATTAACAAATATCCCCAGATATTTAAAATATCTTAAATGTGAAATTATTTTACAAATACTAAGTATGGTAAAGGTATCTTTTAAAAAGAATGTTGCTATTATGTTAATCCAAGTATCAGTTGCTTTTTGTTACAAAAATTCAATTTAATTGATATTTTTGAAGTATAGGAGTGCTGTATTTTGAAGATACTTAAATTTCAAACCTTTTTATTCTGAGAGTCAAAAGGTTTAAAGTAAATGCTTGCCTTACTGTAATACTATATAAAACCCATGGAACAAAGCTCAAAAGTCCCTGCATGAAGACTTTTTTGGGGGGTATTTTTGAGCTGGGGGTCTCCCTGTAGCCCCAGTTGACCTTGACCTGGAAATTGCTATGTAGGGAGGCTGGCCTCTAACTCACAGAGATCTGCCTCCCTCTGCCTCTGCCTCCCAAGTACTGGGAGTAAAGGCATGTGCTACCATGCCCAGGTCAAAGACCTTTTTATTTAAGATGATCATAGAGTACTTTGTGACATCGGGTGCCCATGAAAAGGTGCCACGTACTGTGAATGACAGGCTAGCCCCTGTCGAGGGAGTGTGGTGGCATTCTTTACATGTGAGTAGATGAGAATCTGCTGTTACTTCTCCCAAACACCAGGGAATTCCAACGTCCTGATGAGGGCTGATGGGGAATGTGAATGACTTTTCTCATCCTGTGTACTGACCAGATTTAATGCTGCCTATTTAACAGTAACTGTTCTCCGGTGCTGTGTTTGCATGAAACTTTACAGTATTTACAGTGAGATACTAATACTTTGTTTTTTCCTGGTGTAGCATTGTTGCTGAGACATCTACGGGCTGTTTGTTTGCTGGCTCATCACTCGGCAAACGAGGTATACATGGATATTGGTAATGTTCCCAATATTGTAAACATCTTCATCAAAGAGAGCCAGGGAGGGAGAGGGAGAGGAGGAGGGAGAATCTTTATAGTATCTATCCCAAACCATTCTGTTTGGTCATGGAAATACTTGACTAACTGAGGTTATAAAAATAGTAAATTTATTATAATGATTGACATGAGGAAAAATAAAATTTTGAAATATCTGCTTTCCTGGGAAATTTGATCAAGGATTATGTGTGTACTTACGTATGTGTGTGTATATATGTATGTATTGATCATATGTGAACAGGTAAATGTGAAATATAAAATAGGAGCAGAATTTTCCTCATTTTATTGAAGACATTTTTATGTGGAGATTTCCTCAGGGTGATCATTTGGCTTCTCACTCCCTCTGATAGACTTGCTTTCCATCCAGCTTTGTGCCACAGTTTTAGGTTGTGTGGGAAGCGGAAGTGGAAGAGCAAGGGGCAGGTATTTTGCTTATTCAGATGGGCTAATACCTATTCAGATCTTTTTGTTTGTTTGGGATTTTTTGTTGTTGTTGTTGCTGTTGCTTTAAATAGTGGCTTACTCTGGAGCCTAGGGCTGACCTCAAACTCACAAGGCTCCTTCCCTGGCTTCCTTTAAATACTGGGGTTCAGATGTGCAAAAGACTAAAACTTTAAAAATAGCTTATTTGAGACCATTAACCTTTTTTAGATGATACTGACTTTTGAAACAAATCTTTTAAATCTAGTCAGGCATGGTGGTACGTGCCTTTAGTCCCAGCACTTTGGAGGCAGAGGCAGGAGGATCTCTGTGGGTTTGAGGCCAGTCTGTTCTACATAGTGAGTTCCAGGCCGGCTGGGGGGAGATCCTGTCTCAAAAACACCCCCCCCCCAAAAAAAGATAGAGAAAAGAGAGAAATCCTTTAAATCTGACTAAATTGCCTGTGACCAGTTCTAACTTGTATAAATCCCAAATTTTAGATTTTGAAACAGATGCATAGGATTGGGTCAAAACTTTGTTGTAAAGTGGCTTTATAATTAATTTGCTTCTTGTCTCCCTCCCCCCACCTTTTCTTTTGAGTGCTGGGGCCCCTCATGGCTGTGAGCCATATCCCCAGCCCAGAATTAGTGTTTAAAAAAAATACTTAATTGAATTTATTTATTTTGGGGTGTGTGGGATGTGTGTGTGTGTGTGTGTGTGTGTGTGTGTGTGTGTGTGTGTGTGTATATATGACAGTGCATATGGAGGTTAGAGGACAACATGCAGGTATTTAGCTTTTTTCTCTCCACCATGTGGGTCCCAGGGTTGAACTCAGGTTGTCAGGCTTGGCAGCAGGTGTCTGGTAGTTATCTACTGATCCATCTTGGTACACCATAATTAGTACTTTTTTTTAAACATGTGTATTGCCTGCATGTACGCAGGTGCACCCGTGTCATGCAGTGCCCAAGGAAGTCAGAAAAGGGCATCAGATCCCTTGGAACTGCAGTTACAGATGGTTGTTAACTGCAAATATGGGTGCTGGGAATTGAACCCGGGTCCTCTGCAGTAGCCATCTTTCCAGCCCCATAATTAGTACTTTTTTTTGGTCTTTTTGAGGCAGAGTCTCCCTGTAGCCCTAGCTGGCCTGGAACTTTCTATGTAGACCAGACTGGCCTTGAACTCACAGAGATCTGCCTGCCTCTGCCTCCCAAGTACTGGGACTAAAGGCATATGCCTGGCTAATTAGTACTTTTTTTTTTTTTGGTCTTTTTTGAGACAGGGTCTCCCTATAGCTCTAGCTGTCCTGGAACTCCCTGTGTAGACCAGGCTGGCCTTGAACTCAGAGATCTGCCTGCCTCTGCCTCCCGAGTGCTGGGATTAAAGGCGTGCGCCACCACGCCCGGCTATTAGTACTTTTTAAACAAGCAAAAAACCAATTTTTCCCCCAGTAGTGCATTGAAACGTAGAAGGTATGGCATTTATCAAGCTTCAGGTTAAACAATGTAAGATCTTATCCTAAAACATACATTGGTTGAGTTCAGAAGCCTAATAAATGTTGTACCAGCACTAATTGGAATGTATCAGCTAAACTTCTTTGTTGTTTAAGGCCTAGGTTTGGCCTTGGCTTCCTGAGTGCTGGGATTCCAAAGGTGTGCCACCCCATCCGGTTCAGTTAAGCTTATTTCCTTGCGGTGATTTCAGTTTCTGTTTGTTTTCTTTAATATCCTGCTTCTTAGGTGTGAATGCAGACAAGGTCGGAATTGAAGCTGCTGAAATGTTACTAGTGAATCTTAGACATGGTGGCACTGTGGACGAGTATCTACAAGACCAGGTAGAGACACTTCCTAAACTAAAACCTTCCTGCCTACTAGATTTCAGCGTCTGGTAACAAGATTGGATGCAGATTGCTTCAGTTGTGACCCGTGAACTGAACCTGCGTCCTCTACAAGAGCCAGTGCTCTTAACCATTGAGCCATCTCTCCAACCCAGAAACATTAATTTTTTGAGACAGTGTCTCCCTGTACCCCAGCTGTCCTGGAACTTGCTATGTAGACCAGGCTGGCCTCGAACTCACAAAGATCCGCCTGCCTCTGCCTCCCAAGTGCTGGGACTAAACGCGTGCGCCACCATGCCCAGCAGAAATCTTTTTGTTTTTAAGCTATTTTGATTTCTAGGAGCCTTTTTTTTTTTTTTTTTTAATGGACAGCCATAGAATTTTAAGTTCTAAATATTAACACATTTGTGAGATTTTTCTTCTTTGTTCTTTTTTAATAGCTGATCATTTTCATGGCATTAGCCAATGGCGTTTCCAGAATAAAGACAGGACCGGTCACACTCCACACACAGACTGCTATACACTTTGCTGAACACCTAGCAAAGGTGAGCCTTCAGTTGGAAATACTAACTGGCTTATAAATATTTGGGTTAATAAGCAGGAATCTTAGTCCTCACCACAGTTGATACTGCGCACGGTGCCTCTCACATGGTGGGCCCTCAGCTGCCACAGCTGCATAGCTTTTGAATCTCATTCTGCATGACCATTGCAGGTGACTGCTGGCCTCTTTTTACCTGTGAGTAAAATGAGCCAGAGCTTAGACTGGTGGGGACTGGGTAGTTTCTTGGTGGCAGAACTGGGTTTTGAGCACCAGGACATTGCTGAAAACTACATTACACTGCAGTGACTACATTACACTGCAATGTTGCAGTTAGTAAGAGGCATTCTGATTATAATATTGTGAATGCATATTTACACCTTTTCCTTCAGGACTGTTTTTTAAAAGGATTAATGTGTATTCCATCATGAAACTAATACTAATTTTGTTATAGAAAATCTTAGAAATGTTCTTTCGTCTGGTTAGTAAAACCACTTGATGTCTTCTTCCTCTCCTAAATGATTTCTCACCATTTCTTCCTATTAACACATACTGCTTCATTTCTTACCCTTTTCAGTAACATGTACTCCATTTTTATTTTAGTATATTCTTTTGGGGGATGGGAGGCTTGATTTTAGTTTAGTTTCCTTTGGGACAAGGTCTCATTCTGTAGCCCAGGCTGGTCTGAATGCCTAGGTAGACCAGGCTGGCCTGAAACTCATGGTGATCCTCTTGCCTCAGCCTCTTGAGTGTTGGGATTACAGTGCTAGCTGGAATAGTCTTTATAATATGAGTCTGTTAAATTTATGACTCAAATTTTTATGAAGTTGCTGACTGTCTGGAAATTATAAAAGTAGTTCACACCAGGCATGTAATCTGGTCTGTAATCCCAGCACTTGGGAGACAGAGGCCAATTTTGTCTACATCACAAGTTCTAGGACATTATGGACTATAAAGTGAGGTCCTGTCTCAATACAACAAAAAAGAGTACATCAAGAGCTATAGCACAAACCCTAAAGAATATTCCTAACCAGCCAGGCATGGTGGTGCATGCTTATAATCCCAACACTTGGGAGGTAGAGGCTGGAGGATTAGGAGTTCAGGGCCATCCAGTGCTATATAGCAAGACCCTGTCTTAAGAAAAGCTTCCTCTCGGGGCTGGAGAGATGGCTCAGCAGTTAAGAATACTGGTTGTTCTTGCAGAAGACCCAACTTCAAATCCCAGCACCCACATGGCAGCTAACAACTGTCCGTAACTCCAGTCCCAGGGGATCCGACAGCCTCTTCAGACCTCCGCGGGCATTGCATGACATGGGTGCACTTAACTTACATGCAGGCAATACACACATACACATAAAATAAAAATAATAGATAAAATTAAAAAAAAACAAAACAAAAACGCTTCCTCTCTCCATACCCTCCAAAAGTAATTCATTAGCCAAAGAAAGAAATTAAGCATCACAGATGTTTGTGAGCACAGAGCTACTGTCTTCTTGTTTTTATGATTCTTCACAACTTACACTTTTTTGTTATGAGGAATAGGTAAGTTTAAATTGTAGAAAAAGGTTGGTGAGAATTGAAGGCAAATTAATTCTGAAAAGAGTGAGTTAACTACTTAAAAATATCACTGATTCCTTTTTTGTGGTTGACTGTTTTGTTTTGTTTTGTTTTCTAGTGCTGGGGATCCAGCCTGTGCTGGTTAGCTTTAGTGTCAACTTGACACACCTGGGTTGAGGGAGCCTCAGTTGGGGAATTGCCTCTTTTGGACTGGCCTGTGGCCATGTCTGTGGGGCATCTTCTTGATGAGTGATGTGGGAGGACCCAGCCCACTGTGGGTGGTGCCACCCCTGGGCAGGTGGGCCTGTGTTGCATAAGAAAGCAGGCTGAGCAGGGGCCAGGAGAGCAAGCCTGTAAGCAGCATTCCTCCATGGCCTGTGCTCCAGTTCCTGCTTCCAGGTTCCTGCCCTGGGTTCCTACCTTGGGCTCCCTGATGAACTGCGACCTGGGAGATGTAAGCTGAATAAACCCTTTCCTCCCCAGGTTGGTATTGGTCAGAGTGTTTTGTTACAGCAATGGAGAAACAAACTAGGACACTTCCCAATGCCTTGTGCATGCTGGGCAAGTGCTTTTCTGAAAGCTTCATCCCAGTTTATTTTTCATTCTACTTATGCTGTATTTATAGTGATAACTTGCCTGTCTTGTAGATTGATGTCCTTGGTAGTTGGTTCCAAGCTTTATGAAAATTGTCTTCAGTTTTTACAGTACTTTGTATATTATAGACACATATTACTTAAAGGAAGTACTTATTAGGTAGTTCTTTATCTGGGGAATTTGTGCGGTCTTGTTTCTTATTCAGCTCTGTGTGTGTGCGTGTGTGTGTGTGAGAGAGAGAGAGAGACAGAGAGACAGAGAGAGAGAATGAGATTGAGAGATTGTTCTTGAACAAGATCACTAGGTGGCCTAGACTGACCTTAAGATTCTCCTACTTCAGCTTCTTGTGTGCTGGAACCTAACTTTGTTGTGTCTTAACTGGGTAACTTGGAGCAAGTGTCTATGTTTCTGTGCTTCAGTGGAAATAGCAAATACCCCATCTGTAAAGTCAGAGACTTTAACTAGTTATCTTTTTTTTTAAAACAGGGCCTCCCTGTAGCCCCAGCTGCACTGGAACTTGCTATGTAGACCAGGCTGGCTTCCATCTCACAGAGATTGCTTTCCTCTGTCTTCTGAGTGCTGGGATCAAAAGCACGTGCCACCACAACTGGCATTTATTTTAGGATTCTCACGGAGGTTTAAACATAAACTTGAAATGATTTTGTCACTTGTGTTTCAAGGAGACGTAGACATACAAACCACATACAACCACAGGGCATTTGGTTCCCTGGCTCAGTATTTGTTTACTCCACAGTGATTCAGCTATGTTGTCATACCCTGAAAATTAAAAGAATCTGAACGTGCTGTTCAGTAAGGCCAGTGAGTAATGGTTTTCAATTGTGTTTCAAAGACTTAAAATTTAAGGCAGGCTTGAAATCCCTTTGTTAGAAACTCAGCCTATTCAGTTGTTCTGACTTTAATTCAATTTTGTTAACATGAACTACATTTGCCTTAAAAATGATGTTTCCAGAGTCCGATGACAGAAGTCAAATATTTCAGAGGCAAGAAAAATTTTGAGTTTAATTAATTTTGGTCTTGATATTTACTTCAGATCCACATTTTAGCAAAACAAAAGGGAAGAGGAAGGGTGCACTCTAGCCAGCAGTTGATGTTTCAGAATCCTTTCTTGCCTTAGCTGCATACCTACTGGTTCTGATTCAGTGGATGTAGAGTGGAGCCCCAGGGAACAAGAATCATGGTCCTAGGACAGAATATGCTGTCTCTGGATTATTGAATTCCTTCAAGAGTGATTTGATTTTTATGTGTGGTACCGTCTTCAACAAATGGGTTTGACATGAATTCTCTCTATTTAAACTGGAGTTTCCACACCTTCCCTCTGAGCCCTTTCTGTATCCTTACATACTAATACTCTTCTGTTTCAGGCTAAATTTACTGTGAAGAAATCAGAAGATGAAGAAGACGCGTCCAAAGACACTTACATCATTGAGTGTGAAGGAATTGGGATGGCAAACCCACATCTGTAGGGTGTCTACTTTCAGCGGTGCCTCATTGTTGTACTGTGCTAACTCATCTCACACACCATGGTGAATAGAGAGTAACGTATTAAAGCACTTGGCTAAATTCGGAGATGAGGTGTGCTACTCTAGATTTGCCGAGAATGCTTCATTGGCTAACTTCACCTTCAGTAGCTCCCGAGATATGGACAGTGAAATATAAAACCTGATGGATGTGTGGTACTTGATTTCAAAATTAAAAGTATTGAAATAAAATGTTTTTTTTATTATTTATATATTTTTTAGAAGA